CCAGGTGGCTGGCAGGGCAAGTGGCCCTGGACTACTCTGGTAGCCTAGATATACAAGAAGTCAACTTTATGACAGGTCTACAGTTTGCCGCAGCCTTCCAGCTGCACAGGGCAAGTGGCCCTGGGCTACTCTGGTAGCCTAGGTATAGAAGAAGTCAACTTCATGACAGGGCACCAGTTTGCCACAGCCTTTCCTGAGGGCTGCCCTTCCCTGCTGGCAAGTCCGAGAATGGGCTGACTGGACATCCCAATCACAGAGGAGATAAATAAATTCTATGAGAAAATCAATTTTGTCACCTTTGGCTGATTCAATCACCGCCCAGCAGTTGAGAGGGCTACAGCTGGATGGGTATGATTGTCAACAGCAGAGCCGTTCTTAGCCGCTGCTTCTCTCACCGGCCAGCAATCAGCTGGTTATGGCTGATCCCTCCTAGTCGTAGCCAGATGGCTGGTCCTTCATTATCACGTGGGCGAGTGGGCTAATGGTTGACCATTCACAATCTCGGCTTGCTGGCCGACCTCTTTCCTGCGTGCTCCTCACATATCATTTGCGTACTTGAACGCAAACTAATACTACGTAATTCATGTTGTTTCAAGAACTCTAACAGCAGAGCCTCTTGAGAACTCACGACTTGTTGTAATTCCGAAACAACAGATTCTCTTCTTGCTTCAAAAGTAGCCTTGAAAGTTTTGCCAAAAGTTTTTTGACTAAATAAAACAAATTGTCGATGCTGTTTGATGTTGGGATTGGGTAGATCCAGTACGAGAGTACTAGGGGAATCCAAGAGGAACAATTTGCCGTGATCCTCTCGTATGATCTGTGTCGAGCGCCAAGCGTCTTCTTCTGTGAGTGCCTCTTCCTTTTATTTCTGTCCCTGGTGCTAAAAATAGCAGGCCCAGGGCTAAAAATAGGCCAGGACTGTGACTGCCTGACTCTGGAAGTCTAACAATCTCGGACTGGCACTTCCCTCTTCCACTTCTTTTGGGGTTAGGTTCAACCATGAGGGGATAGGCTCAACACTGTGGGAATTGGTAAGCTAGGGTAGACTGAGGAGCTTGCCAGGAGACCCATAACAGTCGGTGTGCTTCACTTCTCGCACATAGATTATCTGACATTGCAGCCCTAATTCTAAGACCGTTACCTTCCTTGCAGAGAATGGGGACCTGAGTACTGTGTGTTAGATATCGTGAGGTAAGTACGTAGCAGGCGTGTCGTGAAAAATATTTACAGAAAAGAATGGAGTAGTGAATACAGCTGTCCCCCATATGAGGAGAAGATAGCTTTCCTTTATCAAAAAAAGGAAACAAAAGGAAAGAAGGAAACAAATAGGCCCTTCAGTCTCTCGGGGCCCTTCTGGACAGAATAGACCGGTATTTCATGTGCCGATTCAATCCTAGAACCTGTTGGACCCTCCTTTCTTGGTCCTAAAGATCATATCGACCCGCCACAAAGGGCATCGGCAACCTAGAGACTAATCCATCACTAGGCTTGTTGGACACCCATGTTGCACCTGCACCTGGGACCCCTTCACCTTTCATTTATAACCTACTTTTCCCCTGCACCAGCGTATAGTTGTAGCCGGTGCCAGGCCTCGATTCTGGGACTGGCAAACTTCTTGTTATTCCCAATTTATGGGTTGACATTAATTACTCTTATACCCAATCGCTCTTTCACCCTAATAGTGGTCGGCAGGCAGGAAGGCAGACAGCCAGACAGGTAGACAGGCAGGCAGGCAGGCAGGCAGGCAGGCAGGCAGGCAGGCAGCCAGGCAGCCAGGCAGCCAGACAGACAGACAGACAGACAGAGACTGAGAGAGACGACCATTGTGGCCAAACAGCTGCTGGATATGGGAGTAATTTGTGCCATCCGGTACTGTGGGTATACCTATAATTTGACTAGTCCACACAGTACCAGGTAGGTCCATGATTCTCCCTGGGTATACCCATAATTTGCATAGACTTTTAGGTGAGTCTAACTGAAGTTTGCAGGTACCAACTGCGGCATGGGCATGCAAACAGTCTCCACACAGAGTCCACAGAGTATTTCCCGGGTGTACATGCGAGATTGGAACTGGGACAGGACGGGAGTGACAAGACATACACAAAATTTTCATCTTCCAACAGGGTATAGATGCAATTTTCCCTCATTATTATTTGCTGAAAGTTCATGCATTTCATCAAACTGTTCGGCAATCGAAGGAGAACATTTCAATAGCTAAAATCAGTCCGTGCTATCAAAGGATGCATGTTAACCATACCTGCGGCGCACCAGTGCCATGTGCCATGTTGTGCGCAGTGCGCCCATACTCAATGCGTGCACACGTGCGCGCCAGGCACATGGACGCAAAGCGCAGTGCCCCCGCTATTACACTGGTGATGCAGATTTTTTACTTTATTTTTTTTCCCCAAGTTGTTTTCAATGTTTTGTCATGTTCGATGTACAGAACTCGTGTGTGTATGTGTGAGTGTGTGTGTGTGTGCGCGCGCTCGTGTGTGTGTGTGTGTGTGTGTGTGTGTGTGTGTGTGAGAGAGAGAGNGAGAGAGAGAGAGAGAGAGAGAGAGAGAGAGAGAGAGAGAGAGAGAGAGAGAGAGAAAGAGAGAGCAGTTGTAGAAACTCATCGTGAGTGCATGGGGCCTGAATCATGGGCCTTGTGCATTCAAAAATACTAAGAGGCCCCCTCTATTTCGTACGTACAATACCCGCGATTCAGGTCTGAAGCAGTCACGAGGGCGTCTTGTATTCTACAACGTCTCTCTCTCTCTCTCTCTCTCTCTCTCTCTCTCTCTCTCTCTCTCTCTCTCTCTCTCTCTCTCGCGCGCGCGCGCGCGCGCGCTCTCGCTCTCACAGAGAGAGTCATTGTCAAAAAGGACACAACCTCATCGTGACTGCATCAGGTGGGTGTATCTAACCGTGTTCTAGATGGAGATACATTATCGTTTTGCACATCTGTTGAGTGGTGCTGTGAGACCCTAAAACATGCCAAACATGGAATCCCCTTTTAGGGCCTCGCTCCACTGCTCAACAATAGATACATACTCGAAACATTTTGAAATTTGAACCCATTAGGACCACTTTCAGCGGCAGATACATTTAGAACGCTGTGCAGTGGAGTGAGGTTCCTCTTCTGTCTGGCGCTGACAGTACGGTTACTTCAGGGCACAGCTTTCTTTTTTTTTTGCTTTTTTTTTCCCAAGTCAGATACAGCCATGATGAGTGTGTCAGAACTTCAGAAGCATCCGTTTCTCCAAGCACAACGCACCCTCATCATGACTGTATCAGGATTCAGGTGTCACAGATAGGAAAATACATTTGGGACACACACATACACACACACACTGTGGTTGCGGTTCCTTTTTTCGGGAGCCGCTGTCCGGCCCCAACTTTTTTTGTTTCTTCGTGGCTTTTATGTTTTTGAGGGGAGGGCCGGGTTGTGTGACCACAGACCGCCACTCCCAGTTATTTTTTCGGATCCCCATTTTTGGAGGTGCAGCGCATTGCGATGCGCCGCACGTGTGATGTCAACATAATAGTACGACAATGCAATAAACAGATAAAGAATATCACCACAGATAGCAACTCTCTCATTCAATATAACAACACGGCAGTCGTCCTCCTGCCCCCCCAAAAGAAAAGGCAGCCATTCGGATATCACATCTGGATGTAACAACGTTACGGGACTGAAACTCAGGTACCGTCCTGTTGAAAATCTGCTGGTCACAAACTTGCGACCTTTCGATCCCTTACAAGTTATTACTTGAGTTCAACCATTCTGTTGGATGACCAGGTCCTGGTCGTGAATTGCCGATAAGTCTTGCATGCACAAACTTCTCAACACACATCAAAGTCATTGTCTATGGGTAATGAACCTGTGACTTTTGTGTCGGTTGACTGATCAACCAGTTTTCCTTCAGGCATGCAGGGTTGGTGAGATGTGAGACCATGTACACTGCATGAGGGGAAACAAGAAGGTGTGAGACCATGTACACTGCGTGAGGGGAAACAAGAAGCCAGAGAATTTAAGGGATGATGGGGTGGCAAAGTTCGTGGCCGTGAGCAGAAAGAAGTGGGAAGACGAGGAGGAGGGCAAGGAAAATCACAATGAGAAGATGTGAGGAGGCAAGGACAAGAACACGAACAAGAAGGGGATGGGAATGGGGATGCGGACAGGGATGGAAACAGGAACGGGACGAGGATGGCAATGGGTATGACTACAAGGACGGCGATGCAGTTCAAGAATGGAGATGGGGACGGAGATCGGTACATGGATGTCGACGGGGGCAGGGAAGGGATGCAGAAGGGGAAGTTCATGGGAAGAGCGAGATAGGAACCAGAAAGGAACAAGCAGGGCAACAGGCCAGTTACCAGGATGGGCATGGGGCTCTCACCACAAGGGTTTGGCGCAGGGCTGGTGACAGGGATGGAAGACACAGACAGAGACAGAATAGGGACAGAAGCAGAACACGGACATGGATGTGGGTGGGAATTGGTACAGGGGTTATGAGATGGGGCTGCAGACAGGGAGGGGGACACAAATGTGAACAGGTGTAGGGATGGGCACAGGGACACAGATGGGGCTGGGAATTGTGGGGAGGGAACGCTGATGAGCACAGGGGTGGAGATGGGGCTTGGAATGTTGCAATGTTGATGGGGACAGGGACACGGTCACGGAGAGTGCTGGAAGAAGGGAAGAGGGTAGGATTGGGGATAGGGATGGAATGAGGAGAGGGATGGGGCCAAGGATGGGGACAGGGACGGGGATAGACACCAATGGATACGAGGACACATACGCGACCGAGGATAAGGGCCAGGGCATGGACGAGGACGAGGACAACAGAGTGGGAGAGTGCTCCAGAAAGAGGATCATGGCATGTTGAGAGTCTGGCATTCAGGGCACTGTGATCACAAAAGAGAAGTCCCATGGCTGAGAAGAATCTGGCATGACCCCAACAGATGCAAGGCATTGATAAGTCAGAAGCAGCAGTAAGGGCCCAGATTAGTACCTGCAGATGAACATTTGTGTCGTGCTGGCTCTTGAGAGCATACTCATTGTACACAGACGCCATGGACGGGACTGTCACCTGCAGACGACATGACAGAAGCACCAACCCGCAAGCAATGGGAGAAGAAGTGAGACCAACAAACAGTGCCACAATCACAGTTTTGCAACAGCAGTGCAACAGATGTGAGAGGAAAAAAGACTCTGTGACAGTTTCATCGGACTTACCAGTCCACTTTCTGTGGTTTCCATGGGACTACCAGTCCACTTGCTGTGGTTTCCAACTTTCCAAACCTTTGCTAAAGTCTGATTCTCCACTGCCTGCAAAACAAGGCAGTTTTTGGAGGAGGAGGTTAGGCGAACATTTGCATTTGTTCACTCTGCTCTGCGTAGTACAATCTTATGTTAGTTGACTAGATGATGAGTTAGTGTAGCGAACCCAACAATCATGAGAAGCTTCCACGAGACCATCATGTGAGTAATCCCGATGCACTCAGAATGGAGCCCATCCCAATGCCGATCCAGTCCTAAAGCACTCGATGATGTCCCAGAATAAGCAGCAAGTCACCAGAAGCGAGACAAAGCTAGAGAAGCAGTAGAGAGGAGGACAGTTTCATTGCTAACCTGAACGGCTCTTCCTGTTCCCCCTCCACCTCCAGGACCTTCTCCCATCACTTGCCACCTCAGTGAAATCTCCCTTCCTGAAGACACTAACAAAGTCTCGGTGCAGGTACCAGATAGGTGCACCCAACCTCCAGCCTCAAAGCTTGGTTATGGAGGTTGACGTCTGCCGTCCTTCAGCCTCCTGATGTGAGCTGCAGCAGTGTATACCAGCGCCAACAGGTAAGTCAAGGTAAGCTTCCCTCACTCTCTCTCTCCCTCCTCACAGGTCCTGCTCCCCCTCTTCCTCCCCTACTCTCTATACTACAGCTCTGGCGCTCAGGTGCCCTTCCTAGCAATGGCTAATATCTCTCTCCTTCTTGGGCTGGTGCTGTCTTCTTCCTCCTGGCGCCAGCTTATCTCGTCCACCACTAGTGCACAGAAGCAATTTGGCCACCAGCATGTGCAAGGCAGAATGAATGAGCTGCTGAGGCAGGCGACGCTTTTGTAGTGTCGACTGGTCTTGGCCTGCATCAGTTTGCCTCCTCTGATAGTGGAGATTTCTCGATCTGGACAGCCCAGATTTGCTGTCGGCCAATGTGTGCTATGGGAACTTCCAGAGCAGTAGAAACTTACAAAGGTCCTTCGGCCATAAGGAAGGAAGCATGTGTGCGTAATCCTGTTGTATCTTTATAACTTGCTGGTGGAAAGGAACCTGACTGACGCTCCCCAGAATGGATATGGAGCCAGGACCACAAGGCCCTGTTAAAATTAAAAAAAAAAAAAAAAAGAGTGGGCGAGCACGTTTTGACACCGCCATCTTTGGCGATTTTTAATTTTTGTGTGGCTTAGCAAAATGACTGCACGTGGACCTCACATCATAGAGAACTCAMAAAAAAAAAAAAAAAAAAAAAAAAAAAAAACTTACAAAGCCTTTGATTGTGCATCAGATCTGTGGCTGTGGTTGACTCCTGAGAAATCTGTGAGTATTGACTTATTCTTTCTGAGCATGGCCTGACTCCTGATTTTCCTAGAGTCAAGTACCTCGCATGGGACACATACTACCTCATTTGACCCTGGACCCTGTATCTCATGGACTTCTCTAGACCCCTCTAAAGGAGACGTGACTTTAAGACGTCAACGAAAAGTTGTGCCCTTGAGCTCTGTCTGCTGTATGGATTTTGAACTGAGTTCTCTGCACTCCTCCCCTCCCGTTGTTGACTTTCATCACAGAAATCTCAATCTTCTTAAATATGGCTTTTCCTTTCGACCTTAACCCTTTTTCATAGTGGGCTATAACGTCAGCAGCAGTGGGTAAAAGTTCTTTCTTACTGAGCCACCTTGCTTCAGATTTAGGCTGAGATGTGAACTTTAACTCAAAATATGTCTCTGGGGTCTTCCCCGTCCTCCAGAAAAACCCATGCTCAAGAATCTTTTCAACTTGATATCTTCAATCCAGTGATGGTAGAAACATAGATGGACGACTGGGAAAGCCATCCCCTTCAATATAAGGTAGAAGCTTAGTTGGTGAAAGACACGGCAAGTCTTGTGATGTGATGGTATGCCAATTATATGCAATGGTCCATCCTGATCTCCAAGTACTTTAAGAACTTTCCATGGCCCAAAATAGAGAGGTAGCAGTTTCGGGGTAATTCCTTCTTCCAAAGAGAATTCATTTAACCTTACTGGGACCAAATCCCCTACTTTGAAGGTTGACGGTCTTCTATGGTTGTTAGCTTGTTTAATCATCTTAGTCCGAGCTCTCTTTGACTTTCATGATGTCTTGTTTGTACAGAACTGCAAATTCCCGGGTCCTTGGTGGTAAACTTTGGACTCGCTCACTTGTTAAAGAGTCTATGGGTCTCTTCGGTTGCCATCCCTTGTGCGCGCCCTGTTACAGTATGTACTGAATTGTTGTATGCACTCACAATTCTAGGCAAGTTCTCATCCCAGTCTCATAAGGTTTTACGCAAATTGGTACGAGTGGTTGGCATAGTTTATTCATTTGCTCAGTTTCACCATTTGTCTCAGGATGTCTGCCTGATGACAGAGTCAGTTGATTATCCTTCCATAAACTTCCACCAACGTTGTCCTGTGAATCACATGTCTGATGCAATGGTCTCTGGGAATTTGTACTCAGTAACCCAACGCATCTTTTGTGTTGATAGTTCAGATTTTGCTTCAGCCAGCGGTGGAATGAATATAACATACTTTGGGAGTCCATCTACCATGACTTGGCTGTTTCTCTTCCACCTCTTCATTAGACTCATGAAGCGAATGGAGATAAGACTCCCCCATCCTTACGGAATAGGTAGTGGTCTAAGCATTCCAGTGACAGAAAGGACAGGTTCTGAGTCTTCTGACACATATGATTACATTTTCGTTCATTCCAGGCCACACAAACTGCTGCAAAACGTTAGCATAGGTCTTCTTCCAGACAATGTACTCCTCTGTGTCATAAAAGTGCCCCTCTGTGTCGTGATATCCCCCAAGAATCACACGCTTTAACCGTTTCATCGCTGGGAAAACAGATCCCATCTTCACCTTTGCTGGTTTTGAAAAGTATGCAGTCATTCTGTAGCCGGGGAAGTGTTCGGCATTATTTTGAAGAGTTCTGATTATCGTATTCCAAACAAGACGAGCCCGCACTGGTTTGACTCCGTGAAATGGGGCTCATTTGATCATCGAAGACTTGGTAAAGCAGTAGCGAGTCAATGTGCGAAACGCAAAGGAGTTTCAGCTACTGGACTTCGTGTTGGTTGCCAATGGTGTGCCCACGCCCACATCAGAAAGGAGTATGATGGTGATGCAACAACTTGGTAGGAGAGCCAAAGGGTGGGTGGCAGATTGGGAAGTAGAGAAAAATATGAGATGTGTAGGCACTGGTGGAGGGTTGGTGACTCTCTCTCTCTCTCTCTCTCTCTCTCTCTCTCTCTCTCTCTCTCTCTCTCTTGTGTGTGTGTGTGCGCACGGGGAAACAGCAAGACAGGCATCGCAGTAACCATGCTCCGCCCATTCATTCTCGTCGTCCTCCACTCTCTCTTTCCTCCATGACTCACGACTGATCATAGCCGCCATTGAATTGGTGTGACTTGCGACGTTAGCGACTCCTCATAGTTTGTGCCCTCGACATTTGTGAGTCCTTGATGTTAGTGTCCTCTACGTCATTGACCGTTACATTTTGCGCCCCATTGGCGTCAAGCAGTGTCAGACGCAGGCATCTGCTGTCCGCCTGTGGCACTCCACTCCCAGCAAGGCCGCCAAGTACAGTGGTCATTGTTGGCACTCGCACACGCCGTTATGTTTTCTGTTTTTCTTTTTTGCCCTTTTTGGCACATACACGGCCAGAAACTTACATCGACCACGTTTTCTTTTGTGCCTTCCTTTTCTTTTTCCTCTTTTCAAAGAACGATTGCCACCGATTAAGGTCAGTCCCTTTGATAGCGGAAAGTAAACCTGAGACGTCCAGATCCCCCTGAAGTAAGGAGAGGCAAAAAGTAGTATGTGGAAACATTCTAAGGGTGCCCGAATTTGTTAGAAATCGAGCTCTAGGGCAATCGCCGCTACCCACTACGAAATCCAAACACCGAGACACAAAGAAAAGCAAGAACGTGGTGGAGAGCATACCCCCGCGACCCACAAAAGCTATAGAACATGGCTACGCCGGACCCGGACCCGGACAGCTCATGTCTGGTCAGGTCCGGATGTCTGGACTTCCGAACACATCCGGACCTCCGGACATGCACGATTCCGGACGGTCCGAACCAGTGAGCAGGTCCGGAAATGTCCGGACCATAAAAAAAAAAAAAAAAAACTGAAAAAAAAAAATTGTTATGCAGAATAACAATGCAAACCACTTTTGCCTGAGAGTCATCTCAGAATTTATAACCAAACTTGAGTTAAAAGTCAAAACTATAAAAAACTTTAAAAAAGACTTTAAAAAGTAACGAATTATTAATAATTCATTAGGTATTAGTAATTAGTTATTATAGAGATAGACCATGTCCACACCCCCCAAAAAACAAAATGGGCCTGGAAAACCCCCAAACCAATTTTGGGGGCTTGGCTCCTCAGTGGGGAGGGTCCTGGACGTTTATTTTTATTTTTTTGTTTTTGAAATTTGGCAGATCCGGATCTTCCAGACCGGACGTCTGGAGTCCGGACCATAGCTAAGCCGGACCGGACACTGGACTGAATCCGGACCCCGGACCCCGGACCTCCCGGGCCCTTCCGGACTTCCGGAAAACCGGAATATTCCGGAATATCCGGACTGGTCCGGATCCCATGTCCGGATTCCGGTCCGGATCCCCTATATTGTCCGGAAAAAAAAAAAAAAACGCCTGTACTCCTACTCCTCGTCATGAACTTTGCCTCTTGTCTCGTCCTCCTATTGTTTTCCTCCTCCTCCCCCGCCTCCTTGTCGTAGCTGTGGTGTAAGAGGTGTGTGTATACAGGGCCTAGCTACGCCATGCGCAAATTAGT